CTTTTTATTTTTTATTCTTTTTGTTTGTGTTTTATTGCATCCTTCCTAATGATGTGGAGTGATAGTTTATTGTGGGTTTGATTTGCATTTTGCTAATGATTAGTGCTGTTGAACATCATTTCATGAGTTTATTCACTTTTCTTCATGTTTCTCTCTTTACGTTTGATCTAAAACTAACGTTTTCTTTTGGATCACTAAGTTAATTTGTATTGAAAAGCAAATCTTTTAAAATCAATATCCAGTGCCATTCCACATACAATTATGGGACCCTTACTCTGTGCAAGATGCATTTTTATGCTCCCTGCTAGAATTCCATGACTGCTGTTTGGGAAAATAATCTAATGGGGGAGACCCGTGGAATCATAACTTCAAACAAAACAACCTATGAGTACTCTGTGAGAGGATGTATTCAAATGACTGTATTAGTGAAGCGGAGATTATTATTTTATGCAGATCAACTCTTAAAAGAAACTTTGATGCATTCATTCATTCAATAAAAGATTATCAAATATTAAAAGAAAATTTCAGGCAGTGTGCCAGATATAGGAGATTTAGAAAGGAAGAGTTTCTATCTAACCCTGCTCCTTAATGATGGCAAACTGACATATTTATCTCTAAGCCATTCCCAGAGAGATTAAGTTCCTGGAAATGGTCCCCTGCCCTCCCACCCCACCTTACCTCTGTCCTAAGCCTTAGCCTTTCTATCTCATCTCACTTTATTATTATCATCTTGTTTTCCTGCTTGTTCTTCCTCACCCTCACCAAAGATATCAGTCCTTATCTGTTACCTCTGGATTCCCCCTGCCTTTGCTTTTCAGAGATAACACTGATGGTGTCCCTCTGACCTTGATGCCATTGGCTTGACCCCTTGTGAATAATTTGCATTCGTCTATTTATCTTCATAGATGTCTGTGGGGGGCAGTAACTGTCTGGTATGGTCCACCATCCAAGAAGTGGGGATTTCCTCAAAACTGGCTGCCCCTTGGCTTCCAGAAAAGAAGTTGACAATTTCTACCTCTAATTGGACCACAGGTTGGTGTGGAAATGATGTGTTAATATGCCAATCCACTGTTCAATACAAAGTTTTGGCATAATAAGGGCATTTTCAGAGCAATCTGGGCACATAGGGCCAGCCAGGGAAGTTCTTACCAAGAGGACATTTAAGTTGAGCTTTGAGGAAGGTTGTGCACTTTGTACAGCTGCATCATTTAGCGCTAACAACAGGATGTTAGCGCATTCATAAGATGGCATTTTATTCATAGAATTATTACTAGCTTTTATGGGAAGTTGCTAAGTTATCAGGTCAAAACCAAACCCAAATCCAAACCATTGAGTGTTGTTTGGGTCCAGTGTTTGCTGATTTCTGCTAATTGAGGCTAAGGGATATCAACCTCTGGTCTATATTTAGGCATGTTCTCTGTAACATGGGTGTGTCCTTTAAGAGCAGAGCCTCTGTGTCAGCTGGGGAAGTCCTAGATGAATTCCTCTTGTGATCTGTACACAAGTTGGGAAATTCTGATATCAGTATATAAAAGTCATGCTCTTGTTTCTCTTCACATACTGAAAAATATAAAAGCCTTTTATATTCTGTCCTCACCAGTTTCAGTTGGTTGATTTGATAGTGCAGGGAAAACACTTTGATCTAAAAGCACCATGTCAAATATTTGCATGTGGGTTGCTGTATAAGATTTTCTATATTTAATGCACAAATTGAATGAAGCCATTAGAATGTGTATCTGACTCATTTGGAAAGTGAACTCTAGATTTGCCATATACCAGTAAACACCCATGCATTCCTGTATCTGAGCAGACTGTACAGAATATATATTCAAGTGGATGTTTCAGCATTTGCCCTCACCTTAGTTGCACTGCTTAGTGGGCTTACCGTACATTAGTGGGGGTAGAAAAAGCCATTCTATGAGTGTCAGTGAACATCATCCTGGGAATTAGATCACCTTTATTCTAGTTGTTGCTCCTTTATTGGCTAGCGACTGGGCATCTTAGACAAGTCCCTATAGGTGACCTTAAGAATGACTTGGCATTGCCTTTCTCTAACTTTGTCACCAGGGAATTGAGTTAGTATTGCAAGAAACAGGGTAGACACAAGTGGCCCTTTGATGCTAAAAAAAAAACTAAATCCTTGCAGTATACAATTATGGGTAGTCAAATGCAACAAAATATTGATGAAAGGAAAAGAAATATTAACTCTGATTACAACATTTTCTCAAAGCATGTTCCAAGAGCTTGAAAGAAGATGGAGGAATTAATATTTTTTAAAGTTGATTTATTTATTCATAATCTTTTGAACAAGGACATATTGAGGAGATGCAATTTCATTTGTGATCTGAAGTCTAATGTTATTATGTTTTGACTATTTACTGTGAGTTGGGTACTTTGTAAGTAGTTGACATTCATCATCTAATTTAAAACTTACCACCGACCTTATGAGGTAGGTCCTATTATTAGCCCCATTTTAGAATGGAGGAAGTTGAGGTTTGGCAAAGTTTAATAACTTGTCCCAAATCTCACAGCTGCTAAGTAGCAGAGACTTAAATATCGGTCACCCTGATGGCATAATTGCTGCTCTCAGGCATTGTCCACTCAACTCTTACATGTACAGATGCCTTGGTGTCTCTCTATTATCCACAGGAATTCTAATTTGAAAAGGGTCTTTTCAGTTACTACATTACTAATGAATATTTCCCTTTTGTGTTCCATGCTAAGACATCTTTCTTCCTAAAAATAGTCTTTATCCCCCACTCCGTGGATGAAAATCTTGTTTTCTATGGTTTTCTTGATGATTCATATTGACTCTCTAACATGACATTATAATGTTCTTCAAGGTCTTTCCCAATGTATCTGCCCAGTGTGAATGCTGTGTCCCATGCTAAACTCCCTATTTAGGTCAGACAAGTCTAGTCATAGTCCTTGAAACACCTGTCTCTTCCTGTCCCCCCACTTACTTAATGATGGCCCTATCTAGCCTGCCCATCTATCTAGAACATGTTTTTTTGTGGGTGCTCACTTGTAGAATCTCACTCAATTCCCAGTCCTTTGCAGAGCCCTATACTGATGTGTCAAGTCATCCTTTCAAAGGTTGTCTACATTCATTCACTCAGGTGCTCATATACTCCCACAGTATATTGGACATCTACCGTGTACCAGACTTTTATGTTAAGGACATCTTTTTTTTTTTTACTTAAAGAATGCAGTCCTTATTTATTTATTTATACAAGCACTGGGTACAGTTAGAAGCGCGGGAGGGTGAGAGAATTCACCAGAGCCAGAGCAGGGGGCAGAATAGGCAGAAGGACCGAAGTACACTGCTGAGGGGAGCAGTGGGCGGCAGGAGAGGTCTGTGCACCATGTGGGACTCTCGCCGGCAGCCAGGGATCGAACCGGTGCTGCAGAGGCTGTGGGCAGCTTTGCAGCCCAGCACGCAACCACTGTGCCACCAGGGGAGGCCCTGTTAAGGACATCTTAATAAACCAGATAACTTTGCTGCCATATCTATCTTTGTAAGGGACAGTAATCTTCCTGGTAATGGATCATTTTTGTCTGTTTCTAGAACAAGATCTTTGTACTTTCAACACTAACACATAGTACGTGGTCAGTAAATGTTTTTGAATGAATTTCTGAATTCCATTGTCTTTCTATCTTATGCATTCATACAGTGCTTAGGGGATTCAAAACATGCAGAAATCACTGGAAAGAATTGTATGTCACAAAATAATCACTTGTAGGGTAAATTACCTTTTATTTATATAAAGATGCAAAGAGTAGGAGCTAAACTCCTTGTCATAGTGATTTTATTTGTTTTTCCATAAAATTTCCATGATGTTTCTGGATCCAAAATCCCAATGGATTTTGTAGAATTTCAGAGCTTCTTTATTGTGAGAGTGTCAGCCTTAAAGTTGACTTGAATTCCTTTTGTTCAACCATTTGAGTAGTGTTTATAACCCTGTACCTGGGGTTTGTAACTTAGACCTTGAGAGACAACATACTTTCTGGTAATGGTTTAACTCTTAAGAAAATGGCCCCAATGAGGATGTCCCAAAGCTGCTTCTCCTGAGCAGCATTTCTGGGAGATGTTAGCAGAAGCAACACACACACACACACACCACAGAACATTCCATGGTCAGATAAGTTTGGAAGTATGTCTTTATTAAGTATGTCATAAATATTGGGCCTCCCTGGTGGTGCAGCGGTTGAGCACTGGGCTGCGAAGCTGCCTGCAGCCTCTGTAGTGCCGGTTCAATCCCCGGCCACCGGCGAGGGTCCCACATGGCGTGCAGACCTCTCCTGCTGCTGTCTGCCTGTTCTACTGTCCGCTCTGTCTCTGGTGAATTCTCTCACCCTCCCGTGCTTCTGACTGTAACCAGTGCTTGTATAAATAAATAAATAAATCTTAAAAAAAAAAAAAGTATGTAGTAAATATTACCCCCTTGGTTAATTGCTAAGCATGTTTGCATATGAAAGACTCTAAGAAGACTGTTTATAAGGAACCCTAGGTAACTGTGTTTCCAAAAACTATTGGGCATTCTTTGCAATGTCTTGTCTCTTTCCTATGCTACTTGGCTCAGCCTTCCTCCTATAACTCTAGTTCTGCAGCCATTCATTTGGCACACTTGCATTGCTTGGTCTGTGCTACACTCACAGAGTCTGTGTTCAGTAGATTGTGGTCTGTAGGCAAGAAAGGTAAGTAAATGATGGGCACGCAGGACTGTGACAGTGCTCTAATGCAGGCAGCCACGGGGAGCAGCCACTGTTTGCAGGGAGTTGGGGAGAAGCAACTCTGAACTGAGTTCTTCAAAACTGGATATTTACCAGAGCAATGGTGGAAGAAAGGATAATAGGGAACATTAAATAGCCATCAAATCAGAATAAAGAAGAAATCTGACCTTACTCGGTTTGCACAGGACACTAGAGGGAGATGATATGAAAGTCAACAACAGGCACAACCTCATTTCTAATCTGGCTTTGTCTCTCTTTTTTTCTAGAACTGCTCCAAGGGTTGAGCTTGGCAATTCTAGTTTGGATGTTCATACCCTCTTCCCGGCAGCAGAGAGGGGAGGCACATTAGGATGATTCAGAATATGGAAAACTAGGTTCCAGAGCAGTAAGTGTGGGTCAGAATAGGAGGCAGCCATAGATGCTGCTGGAAACTCCCCAAAGAATGATGATCACTCTTGATTACACAGCCCCCATCTATCAGAGATTTGTGACATAACAAAGCAATTCATGCTTTTATTCCTAAAACACCCTGTTCTTCAGATGTGGGCATTATGCTCATCATGACTGTTCTCTGCTTGGAAATTGTAGAGTAAAATGATTTCCATATCTTGAGCTGTCATTATCATACCCCAGATTCTTTTTATCTCTTTAGATCCTGAATGCATAACTATATTTCTTCCAAACAATTTTAAGCTATTCTTCACATCTTTGTATGAATATATGTATGTATTGGGAAGATTATAAACAAAATAAAATTATTACTCATTAATAGTGTTATATCTTATGGAATCCAGAAGAAAAAATCACTATTGCAAACATGATCTGGGAAACAAGAAAGCTTTCCAAGTTTATTTTTCCCTCATGTGTAAAATGATGGGACTGGGTTGATCTCTGAGGTCCTCTCTAGCATTCATGTAATGCTTTTGGAGTCTCTGGGAGTGGTAGAAACTTGCAGAGAGCAGATGTGGAGTATAATTGTCTCAATAGGGTATTCGTCTCTTACTGACTCTTTGGGAAATGGTGGGCATGTATTTTATTTGTTATGATTGGAACATGTGAGCAATAATTATGATAACAACATAGAACTTCCCCTGTGGTGTAAAATACAGATAAGGCTCTTATAATATCATCCATGACACTGGTCTTCGTGATGACTGGAATCCTCTAAGGGCTCACTGAGTTTGTGCTGTGCTTTGGCATTCCTTGCCTGTGGGATGCCCAGGCCATAGGTTTGGTTCCAGCAATCAATTCATTCATCCATTTGACAAATAGTTATTGAATACAGTCCTGTACTGGGTCTGATGCAGAGGCTGGTGACTAAAGATGCTTGAGAATTTACAGTTTAGAGGGGAAAACAGATCCATTACAATCCAATTCATTCAGTGGACATGTTTTGGGTGGCTAGAATGTGCTTGGCTCTTGACAAACAGAAACAAATACGAATAAGAAAAATGATAACTGATGCATATGTTCAAGTTCAGAGATTGCTAATTAATGGTCACAAAGACTCAGAAGATTCACAGAGGAGTAGACATTGCCACAGGCTAAGAAGAGAGGAGTAAAGAATTACCAAGCAGGGGAGATGAGAGCTCTCTCAGTGACACAGAACAGCATCCTCCATGGGCAGGGATATGAAAAAGACAGTGTGGAGAGGCAATTGCAAGTTGCTGTGATGATCACAATGTGCCTGGACATAAGACTGAGAGATTTGCAAGAGCTCATCTATCACTTTAGAACATCCAAAGAGAACTAAGGAAGCAGTGATAGATGATGGAGGAGAATGACAGCTTTTGTGGCTCATCTGTGACACTCAGTCAACACAGCCAATATCTAACAATTGTTACGAATGTCAATGACAAGAATAATAGCAAATATTGATGAAAGGTTGCCTATAAACCAGAACCTGCTTTAAACACTGTACATGTTTATCTCACTCCAATGTTAAAATAACCTGATGAAGTAGGTGACATTTTGTTCCCAAGTTACAGGAAGGGAAGCAAAAGTGGAGAGAAATTTTATCAGCTGGTATCAGGGAGAGACTGAGAGATGGAATCCAGGCTGTCTGAACCCAGAATCCTGCCTTCTCTCACAGTTTATTACATTTTAAACTTAAAATTTTGAACAATGAAGTACAATGAAGAGCACAAATCATTAAAATGCTGTAGAATAAATGATCACTGAAGTTAGCAGGCTATGACCCCCAGATGAATACCCAATTTTTGTAAATAAGGTTTTATTAGAATGCAGCAATAGCCGTCATTTAAAACTGTTTATGGCAGCTTTTGTGCTGCAATGACAGAGTCTTTGAAACAGGGACATATGGCTGCCACAGTCTGAAATATTTTCTGTCTGGCCCTTCCCAGAATAAGTAGGTGATGCTATGTTCTCACATGTTGAGCACAGCTACCATCCAGGTCAAGAAGCAAACATAAACAGTGTCCAGAAGTCCCCACATGCTTATTCCCAAATATATGCCTTCTCTCCCCAAAGGAAACCCCCACTCCAACTCTGACACCATGAGGATTAGTTTAACCTGACTTTGAACTCGCTATAAATGCAACCAGGCCTGATGGGATCTCCACCCTCTTTCCTACTGTAAAGGGCTTAGCATAAGAACCCAGAAAATGGGAAGTGGTTTCCACTTTCTCTAACCACACAGTAGGTGAGCACCTCAATGAGTTTTTCAATGTTCCCATGCATTGCTTGTTCCAGAAGAAGGATATTGGGGTTCACCATAGTTCTGTCCTAAGTTAAACAATGGTCCTCTATGATTACCTGTTTCAGTTTTCTCTTGCTGGCATAGCAAACTATCATAAACTTAGTGTCTTAATTGATACAAATGTACTTTCTTATAGTTCTGGAAATCAGAAGACTGAAATGACTCTTACTGGGCTAAAACCTCTTATCAGCAGGACTGTGGCCCATGAGAAGTTTCTTGATCTTCATTCTACACACTCTCCTGGATACCTTGCAATATTTTAATTATCATCTCTGTGCTGATGACTTCCAAATCTCATCTGGCCTGACCTCCTTTTGAACTTTGCACTTCTCAACTGCTGATCTTCCATCTCCTCTGAAATATCCCCAACACCTTGACCAACCCAATCAGTACACACTGATACACCTCCAATATTCCCCAAGCTCATGGATTGGCACCACTTTCCGCCTAATTGCCAAATGCCAATTTTCTAAAAACCTTTCTTGATTTTTAGCTCTCCTTTCATATTCAAATTCAATCATTCACCACGTTCTGTCCACTCTGTGTCCCTAGCATTTTCTGAGAGTATTTACTTCTCCCATCTCCACAGTCTTTGCTGAGTCAGGCTTTCCTAATTTTTGTCTAGATGACTCCATCTACATCCCAGTCATGGTCTTTCTCCTGCCATATGGTAGCCAAAAAGTTATTTCTAAAGTAAATTCTGATCCTTTCTTTACACAGTAGAGTTAACTCTCCAAAAACAGGTCTAGTGCATTGTTCATGGGTGTGCACCTGACCCCCACAAAGAACCTGGTAACAGGAAGTTCTCACTAAATACACGTAATTAAAGGTGGTTCTTACCTCTTCATCTGTCACACGGTGACAGATGACACACTTCATCTGTCATCTTTTGTACCTTTCTACCTTTTCAGACTTTCTGTAATTCTAAAACCCTCCATCTTGACTTGGGCTGCCCTTCTCTTCTCTTTTATCTCTATTCTCTTCTCTTTTATCTCTATCTTATTCAAGAACATTGTTTCCCAAGAGAGCAGATCTCTTCTTTAATTATTGTTCCAGGTCCATAGCAGATTTCTTATATCTGTTTGATGATTAAATTAATCCTTATATTAACAAATCAATGGCGTTGTAAGACTGTCAGAGAACATTTCCCAGAGTATGGAAACATGCTTAGCCTATTTGGAACTTGCAGTATGTCAGGAAACAAACAGTTGATTTGAGTCAAAAGGAATCTGGAAAGTTTATCTGGTCATTCCCTTGACTCTAGGCAACATTTCACAAAGTATGGTCAGTAAAATACTCCAGAATCCAGTGAATGTGGGCATTGATTCAAGCTCTATTGAGATTGACAATACACAGGTGCTGATTAAAGATGAACTCAACCATAAAAAGAGTGAGTTCTTTAATGTTTACCATTGTTTTTGGTTTATCCTTATCTTTTACAGACCTAAGTGCCATGGGTCTTTATTCCCCCAATATTCTCGACTAACATCCTGCATATCCAATGTCTCAGTTTTCTTGGGGAAATGCTAGCCTAACAAGCCTTAACTCTGTAGATAATTCAACTTTTCAAGGTGAAAATAATTTATTTCAATGAGTATTCTTGCTGTATGAGCTGATCATGTTCAGAAGAACCTTAAAATGACATATTTTTTTAACCTGCCAGAGCAGAAGTAGGTTTTAATGTTCCCTTTGTCAAAGTAAGCCTTGCCTTTAGTTAGAGGGAAGGAAGAAAACAGAGGTAATTATACAGTGACGGGAACTGTTCTTTTTCCTCCCATTGAGCTCCAATGTCAGTCTTCTTGAACAAAGGTGCTATTGAAATCGTGAATCATAAAATTGATTTTTCCAACTTCTGGGCACCAGCTGGGCTCAGTAGGGAAGGGTCTCTGGTATATAGGAAGGCATTTTCAGCCATAAGTCCCTTAATGTATCCTTCAAGGACTTCATGCAGCCCTTCTGCATGCCCCGCCATTCTGCAAGCCATTTGTTCATTCTGCATCATACCAGTGCCTCCTTTCTGGTAGGTTCAGACATTCAGTTCCAGATTAATAAAACCCATTTGTGGCTTCCTTGAAAGAGTAAATATTGAATAATCTCACCCACAACTCATAAACTTGCTCTTCATTTTCAAGGCACTCATGTATGGCATACCACACTATTTGAATGGAAACAGAGGCTCAGGGACTTGGTTTCATGCTATAATTATTAGAGGACAGTGTCAACTTTTGAACCCAGGACATATCCTCCCAAGGCTCATTTGTCTCATAGTGGGACATTATGATGTCAATGGGAGAAAATTGAAGGTGACACTTTTGCTAAAGGGCAAGGATGGGTTGGCCTGGAATAAAGAGCCACCAAATCCTTTGTGCTTATTTTTTTTAGGAACTATCATTCAGCTCCAGCAGCAACAGAGGAACTTTGCATCCTATCTGTGGCTTCATGCAAATTCCCACATAGCAACACTGGCTTTGTGAAGAATTACATTTCCTGCTGCAGTGATTAGATAGACAGGCTCATTTAAGTCCTATCAGCCAGAACTTAGCCCTGTGTTTTGCTGGTAAGTTTATGAATAAGCTCTTCATGCCAGTTTTCTCCCTCTTTGCAGTGGGATAATAACTTGGGGCTCTTTGTTTTCCATTTATTTCCATCTACAATATTTCTGTTTTTTTTTAAAGATTTATTTATTTATGCATACAAGAACTGGGGTACAGGCCAGAAGTGTGTGGGGTGAGAGGATTCACCAGAGACAGAGTGGGGAGCAGAATGGGCGGATTGACTGAAACACACTGCTGAGGGGAGCAGCGGGTGAGTCAGGAGAGGTCTGTTGCGCCATGTGTGTAACTCCCTGGCCAGGGATCGAACTTGTGCTGTAGTGACTGCGGATAGCTTCATAGGTTGCGTCTTAACCCATTGTGCAATGAGGGAGGCCCTACATTATTTCTTTAAGATGTCTATTGTCTATTGCCTTGTGGGTAAGACAGGTGACTGGCAGAACTGAAGACCAGAACAACCCAAGATACAACTGAAGGTCACATATAAAATCCTCCATTGTAGTACTTATCAAATGGTCTAACATACCTTTCTGTTTACCTGTCCTTTTTTCCCATGGTGGTGAGAATATTTTGAAGCAGAAGCTATGTTTTTAGTCTGTGTTTTCCTAAGATGTAGCAAAAAGTCTGGAACATATCAATATGTAATGCATTTAATAAATGGATCCTTGAATGGCCTCTGGGATTCTGATCAAGCTTTACCTTCAACCCTGAGCACATCCTGGAACCCCAGACTTATATATCTAAATGCCAAATTGACATCACCAAGTGGATGCCATAGACATTACAAGAATAACATGCCTCAAACGGACTCTCGACTTCCCTTTGCAACTTGCCCTGACATCCTACTAAGGAGATTCATTGTTTTTCATGCAAGACATTTGAGTTAGCCTTCATTTTTTTTTCTTTCTTCCACCTTCCAGGACTAACACCAAGTCCTGATTTTCCATTTAAAGCACACCTAGAGGGCCTCCCTGGTGGCATAGGCAGTTGAGCGCCGCACTATGAAGCTGTCTGCTGCCTCTGCAGTGCGGGTTTGATCCCGGCCGGCCAGCGAGAATCCCACATGGCGGGCAGACCTCTCCTGTCTCACTGCTCCCCTCAGCAGTGTCTTCGGTCCATCTGCCTGTTCTGTTCCCTGCTCTGTCTCTGGTGAATCCTCTCACCCTCCCGCGCATCTGGCCTGTGTCCCAGTTCTTGTATAAATAAATAAATCTTTAAAAAAAATAAAATTAAGCACACCTAGATTTGTCTCCTTCCTTCAGCTCCCTCATTGCTGCTCCACTCTAAACCACTATCTTCTTTTACTTAAACCACTGAAAATAATTTCCTCACTGGTCTCCCTTTTACTCAGATTATCCTATGATCCATTTACCATGAACCACTCAGAATGCTCTTTTAAAAGGCAAATAAGACAAATCAGAATTCTTTTACTGAAAGCCCTCTGAGGACCACCCTTGAAATTGAATTTCTTCCCTTGATCTGAAAAGCTCTTAGCGATCTTCCTCCATCACCCTCTTTTAACTCTACTGCTCCCCTTGCTCTCTCCATATTCCAGTCAAGGTAACCTTGATATTCCTTAGACTTTCAAAGTTTGCTTAGGGCTAAGGGCCTTTGTACTGATTGTTCCTCTGTCGGGAGTGTCTTGTCTCCTGATCTTATTTACATGACTGGTTTCTTCTTGACATTCAAATCTCAGTCTACATCTGACTTCTTTAGAGAGACTGTCCCTGACCACCCACCACTATCAAATTAACATATTTTAAGTCTCTTTTTGAACAGCATCTGTCCTGATCTAAAATTCACCTTGTTTCATTTGTTTCTTTTTCCCACTGTCACTTACCTCTTCACTGCCTGAATTATAAGCTCCTGGAGAAGAGGGATCCTGTCTTTTACCGTGTTACATCCCTTGTATGGTGCCTCGGGTGCAGGGGGCAGGGGCATGGACATGAATGCAGTGCGTCTCAGGGGTGCATCCTACAGTGACTCATGCTCTCTAGTGATTGCTGGTGTTTCCAGAAGGGGAGATAATAGAGGACTGGAAGGATGTTGTTTTAATTCATTCTGGAATGAGTGAAGGGATGAGCAATTTTATTATCCCCTATTTTTCCAAGGAGGCAACTGACACTTATGGGTGTTCATCAACACACTAAATGTCAATCGGACATAGTGACCAATGGGTGTTCATCAACACACTAAATGTCAATCGGACATAGTGACAAAGCAGACCTGAAGGTAAGGCCCAGAAAGGAACCAAGGACGATGCAGATCCCTGGTATGAGGAGGCGTGGAGAAATCCTTTCCTGAGATGGGAAAATCCACAGGTAAGTAAATTTCAAGGGGAAATCAAGAATTTGACTTTGGCTGTGTTATTCTTGTGAGGTCCAAAGTTACCCTCTTCAACCTACTGAGAGTCAGCATTTGAATTCTTGGCTTTCAACTCCAGATATCATGCTGCCTTCCTCAACAGTGTTTCAAACTTTCACAGTCTCCTTCTCTGCAGCTAGGGTGTCCCATTGAAGTAATTTTCCATACAATTTAGAGAGGTATTGGGCCATGCATTTCTGCAGCCTGGAGATAAGAAAGATAATATTCCAACTGGGAAGTGTAAGTGATACCCTTTAAAAGGAAGCCAAGGAGGCAGTTTGCTTTGTACTTTGACAGCTGATAAATGGGTCCTTTGAAGGCTTCAGGGAAGAAGTGAATTTCATGGTTAAGAATGGGGAAGAGGGACTGCACAGGAAGGACAACTTTCCCCTATGCCCAGGTCTCTGATAATAATGTCACCCTCTAATTTGGACAGAGTTTTACAGTTTCCAAAACATTTGGCATAGATTATCATATGCGCAACTCAGAACAACCTACAAGATGGAATGTTGTATTTCCAATAAACAAAAGCAGGAACTGAGGATCAAGAGAATTAAGTGCTTTTCGAAGGTTATAGGGTTGTAAGTGAAATGGACAGAACTTAAGGGCAATCGTCAAGTTCAAGAATCCACATGGTACTCTTTCCCAGAAACCTGGGCACACTCATCTTTCTCCGATGGTTGGGGCAGGGGTGGGGGGCAACTTCCTTGTCTTCCTAAGTTCTATATTTTGCCCACCCCAGTTCTGGAACCGTATATTTACCAATCCAGCTACCAAGCTGAGAGTATAACCTGCTTGGAACTGCTGTTGAAGAGCCAGCTATCAGGTCACTTCAAGAGGAGTCATTGATAAATGATTTCAATGGAGGTTGTGGTATGGGGATATGAGTTGGTTGGTCACACCACTGTTTTCTTGTTGTCATAAGAATCATGTAGGGAACTGGCCAAAACCCAGATTACTGGGTCCCACCTACCAGAGATGGGGATGGAGCAGTTCTCTGGGGTAGGGCCTGAGAATTTGCATTCCCATGAGGCTGATGCTACTGACCTAGAGATGACTGTGAGCAGCACTCCTGCCAACTAGATCTTCTGGGAAGGTCAGAAGAAGGTCAAAGGAAGGATATAGACTCAGGCGGAGGTGATAGAAGTGTTTGTTGGTACAACCTCTCCAGGGAAGTAATTGGCTATTCCAATAAAATCTGAAAAGTATGCTGCGGTCAACACATCCAATTCTGGCTACTTTATCTTAAAGAAGCAAGTAAGAATCCGAGCAAAAAATAGGCACTATGTGTTTGGAATTATAAATGTTCATTCAATCTCTGTAGAATGAGTTGAATGAAGGGATGCTCACTGCTAATTTGTTTAGAATAGAGAAAAGTTGTATTGGAAACTTCAAAATATTAGAAAGGATGATGACAATATAATAATATGCTATCAACAAATCATTGATATGGCTATATTTTGTTACACATTTTCAAAACCACTATAAAGATGAGGTATCAGTTAATTCTTTTTTGCGTTGACTGGTATTTTCTTTGTTGTTGTTGTTGTGATAAGCTTACATCATTTGTTTCATTAAAACGCTTATCTAAAGTCAGCATAAAATGGTAACTAAGTGGGAACTCAGTTCTCTGATTCAAGACCTTTTTCTGTATCTACCTTTGTTTATTTATTTTGAACCTCATGCTTGTGGCATTTATGTAAATACAGAACTAAAAACAATGGCATACTAAATAGAGATGAAATTTCAAAATCAATAAAATTCACTGTTAATAATAGACAATTAATATCCCATTGATATAAAATGGAGGCTTGTGACGCAAATACATTATTCAACTTTAATGGTACAGGTTCTTTTCAGTTTGACATTTCTATCTGCTGTGTGATGATTCCATTTTCATGTTATTGTTTTTTCTATTTTTTTGTAGGTAAATGTTCAGAGCAGTTGTATTGCTATAACCTCAACCAAAATAAAACAAATGTCCACGAACAAGTGAGTGCATAAATACATTGTACTATATATATATTTGTGTGGCTGCCCAATCTACCATTTTGAAGGAAGTAGGAGTTCCGAGGTGTAGAAGAAGAATGTTCTTTGCTTTAAAGAGGCTGTTGCAATCCCAGTTAATGGAAACCAGATGCGTTTGAAGCTCAGCTTTCCGGCTGGGTTACTCTTTATCTTGGAGCCCACCTCTCACGCTGGTATGAGCTGTCCTTCCTAGGGGGCTGATGTGCAAGGCTGATTTTTAGTGGAGGTGAGCACCTTGGGGATATAAACATTAACTGGGTTGGACATCGTTTAGAAGTTAACCTGGGCAAATTGTATCTGTTTCCTTTGAAACGTTTAAAATAGTTGGTCAATATTAACCAGTAATGATTGTTTGATCAACATTTCAAGGGAAGTTATTGATTGCTGTTTGATGATTTTAAAAGTAGCAGGAGCATTGCTATCTGCTTATACCTTGAAAAGAAATGTTACCAGTAGTAATCTCTACTGTAAACATGACATTGTAGACCTGTTAAAATGAACAATGTTGCTTCTGCTTGGTTGAATTTGACTTAATATTTTCAGTTTGCAAATATTTTCATGAGGTAGGTATTGATTTTCTAATTGCTAAACATATAATAAAACAGGAACTAGTTAAGAAAGATGTCATGAAGGAAAGGGACATTTGGGTGAATGGAAAATTGTGAATCTAGACATGGAAATGTAGAACCTGGCAGTAATCTGTGTGTTTATTGATAGATTAGGGATTCGCCTTAGTTTCTAAATTTGAGGGTTGTAGGAATTTTGAAGTCAGATATTCAAGTTAGTGTTGTTTATCAGCTGGGGAGAATAAATTCTTAATCTTTTTAAACTATACTGACCTTATTTGCCCATAAGACTTCACATTGAATAGGCCTCTGGTCAGAAAGTTATGCTGATGATGCTGATATTACTACAAAACCAGGACAAACCTTTCATCTATCACATAGTTCAAGCCTACTTGCTATCAAAGTCAGAGAAAATAAAAAAAAAACATTTTTTACATATTATTTTCATTATGACAAAATAACAATCAATTGAAAACTAGTTAAAAAGAAAAAAAAATAATCCCCCCATATCTACATAATCATTAACAGTCATTTTTTATAATGAATGTCAGCAAGGTTAGAAGAAATAAAATCTTTCAGTTTCAGATTGTAGGTTGGAGGAGAAGTTTGTTAATTCTCTTTCAACTCTGAATCCTTTGATTCCTAAGGGAATCAATTTGGAGATTTCCTTTTTTTTTCAAGTATTTTTGAGATTTAACTTTGATAGAATAATGAAATATTATATTTGCCTTAACATTAGTTTTTATTAGAAGCCACTGAAGATAAAATAACATCATTTACTCATTTACTCATTCAATATATAATTCACTTATTCATTAATTCAATAAGTCAATGTATATTTTGCATCTTAAATGTGTTTGAAGCTAAGTACTAGAGATAGTGTTGAGCAGAAAAGAAATATAACCTCTGCCCACATGGGTATTATAATCTTCAGGAGCTAGATTTCAACAAGATGTCACATAGTAAACAGAGTTTCAGACTTTAATAGAATAGAGATTCATGAGGAAAAAGAAAGAGTATGAAGAGTTGGTATATTTAGGAGCTTAATTTAATTGGGAAATTGGACAAAATAGTTTTATTTCAGGGCAGAGCTTGTGGGATGGTATTAGCAGAAATAACATATATATCTATATCTGTATCTATATCTATGTATATAACATCTATATATCTATAGAGATATATCTAGATATGTTATAGATACGTATAGCTTCCTAAGCAACTGGTAATCCCTGCACTCAAAGACCACTGGCCTGTGCTCTTGGAAGACCACATTATTGCTTCTCTTTAATTCTCACCTTCATAAGTTTTTCTCCAATTCTTAATTTTATCTTACAGAATTCTCTGTATAGAGGAGGAAATTGAGATCCAGTGGAGAGAACTCTCTGGCCTATAGGCTCCTAGTGCTGTTTAAAACCCCACTTCTGCTCACTATATCTACCCCCAATTTCCTTAATCAACACTTTCCATCCCTGTGACTTCACAGGCAGTGACTCTACCCGAAGCGGAAAGCACACACTGCCAGGCTCACTAGGTAGAGTCTGTGTCTATTTCCAGCATTCTCCCCCATGCTGTTTAAATGTGTGGGGCTCCCCTTTGAAGTCCTGCAGAGTGAAAGCATCAGCAGGCGGCCTCCGATGACTGCAACTTCCAAGGAATCTGCACTCAGTCTGCTAACACGCAACTTGTCTCTCCCGCTGCTGGGGCGAGACCGAGAAGGGGTTGATAACCAGGGACAAGATAGTGATCAAAGGAAAACTCAGAGTGAGGGTTTCAGAAAATCTGTGGTGATTGATATAGAAGTGGAAAAGGAGGAAGCTGCTGGCCTCAAGGCTGCAGATTTGGAATCCTGCCAGGAGTTAACTCTTTGGGAGCTGCTGTACCTCAGTCTTAGGAGGTGATGATCCGATGGAGGTGAAGCATTGGCAGGGAGGGGTCAGATGCTCCTCTCTTTTACCAACACTCCCACTCCTGACTCAACTCTGTCTTGAAGTCATCACAAACATCACTGTCATGGAATGAAGGAAAAAAGAAGGAAAGCAAAGAAGACAAATCCAGTGTTCACTTTTACTCTGAATTCAGTTTTTTCTTCTCTGAGAGTATTACTAGGAAGATGAAGAAGATACAAGTATTTATTTTTTTTTAATTTTCTATAGATAGACTTATACCTGCAAAAGCATGAGTCTTTTCTGGGGTCGTCATTAGAAAAAAATGGATATATGTTGTCTACTATTTTCTGCACATATATATGTATATTTAGTGTAATACACACATATATGTATTTTCAGTATAATACACATATTATATATATTATCCACATAGAACATTTTCAGGTAACATTGGTTTTGCACACCACTTATGATCCAGAGGCTTAAGACCACACCTCCTCAGATTCATTTCACCACACCACATGCACACCCATCACCAAAACACCTGCGATCCTCCACATAGTCCTGTGGACGCCCCTCCACAATTTACTCCCCACTCAGTATGTTATTGGATTAGTTTTGATTGATCCTTTGTTTCATTCTTTTATTCCACCTATCTGTGAAACCATGCAATATTTGTCTTTCTCCTTCTGACTTACTTAGCTTAACATTATCCCCTCCAGTTCCATTCTCATTGTCTCAAGTGGCAAGAGTGCATCTATTTTTTTAAAAATCAGTAGTATTTTACTAATACATGTATGTATACTCCATTTCTTAATCCACTCATCTGTTCTTGGGAACAAATTATTAATAACAAGCTATTTCCATTACTTGGCTATTGAGTTCTTTGGGAGGTGCTTAGGTCACGAGGGTGGAAACTGCATAGATGGAGTTATTGCCTTTATAAAAGAGACCCTATAACTCACTTGCCCCTTTGGTGGTGTATAGTTACAGGAAGAATATGGCCATCTGTGGGAAGTGGTTCCCACCAGAATCTAAATTTTTTTAAAAATAGACTTAATTTTATTAATTTATTTTTAAATTTGTTTCAGTTGACTTCATTTTTTATATAGAATAAATCTTATTTTTTATATATTTTATTTTATATATTTTTTACATTATTTTCATCTTTGCACAATAAGGGAGATGGGAATTGTATGGGGACTATAACCAGAATCTAAATTTGCCTGTGTCTTCATCTTAGACTTCTCAGACTCCAAAGCTGTAAGAAATGAATCCTGAGTGTTTATAATTCACCCAGTCTATGGGATTTTGTCATAGTACCTAAATGAACTGAGATAATGCTAAAGCACTCCAGGAGTAGTGAGTGTGGGGACTGGTAGTATCAAGAGAAGTAAGGGAGGGGAATAGAGGCAGAAAGGAGCTCATAGAAAAAATAATTGTTCCTAAACCTTTTATTACAAAAAGATTTGAAATGTCTGAAAATACAGAGATTAGAATAATGAACCCCTATATCCTCATCACCCAGCTTCGTCAAATTCATAAAAGAATTCCCAGGTTGACAGCAGCCATGGTAGCAGATGTATTTGATGCTGTTGTTAAACGTATTTCAAGATTATAATGTATGAGGTTCCTGTCCCAAGGAGATTTGATGTCCATGTAGCTGAAACTATAAAATAAGTCTACTTCGAGACAGATTATAATTAGATTTGGGAGTAAATGATTAATCATCTTGCATTTGAATTATGAAATTTCTCCCTTACTGGTGTTGATGATTTCATATTTTAAATTGATCCTACTTAAAGAAGAGTCCTCAAATATGAACTCAATACCTATTTTCCCTGCTTTAAAACTTTCAAGAGCTTGCCATTGCTCTAGGAATATTTTGCAGACTTTTAGCTTTGATTATATGTTCTTGTCCCCTCCTGTGCTTGAATTCTGTTGGAGTTCCTGCTTGAAAGCAGCAGGAATTGATGAGGTGTGATTTAAACAAAATAATTATTTGAAGCAGTGGTGTAGCAGCTACTGGGGTGCCCACCATATACACTTGGCACTCACCATCCAAGCACATGCCAAGGGCATCCTGACACCAGCGTTCATGACGCTGCCTGCAGGCTTTCTGTCAGCCCAAACAGGCAAACTGCAAGTCCCAGATACCTGACACCCGAGAGCAGTCCTCAGCTAGTGATCCATCCCCTCTCTGGCACACCCCTTCCTGTCCAGCATTGCGATTGAATGTGTATATTCTCCACTTTCATCAGAGCTTCACGGGACCTTGGAACCTGCCACAATCCCAATTGCTAGTGACAGCTCAAGAACTTGTGCCTAATTAAAGGCATGTGGCTTGTTGCGAAAAAGGACTGCCATCGTTTCAAATAATGATGAATCGTATGTGGAAAGTCCTCAAGAAATGTTTTGCTTGAGGGAAAGCAAAAAGTTACTTTATTTGTGTCAAGCTAGCTGACTCTACGAAGGGTTTGATAGTCTGAATAAAACCCAGTGTCACGAAAACCTGCAATGAACAGACGCATTCCTGGCTCGTGACTGGCCCGGGTCCCGCTTCCAGAAGATGTGCCTTTCTGCATCATGTTCTTCCTGGCTTCCTACACAGCCTCTCATTTTCCCTCCAGAAGATCATGTTTCAGGCTTCAGGACATCACGGGCTGCCTCCTTGCTGCGGGTGAAGCCTGATACCGTGGAAGCCACGGGGAGACATCCCCTTGGAAGCTCGACAAGCGTGCCAGCCGGGAAGGAGCAGCTCGCAGGCCCAGGCAGGAGCAGTACTTGTTTGGGGTTCCAGGGTACGTGGGCACTGGATGATGGCACGGCTCCTTGCTCCATTTGTGGGGAGAGGAGGCAACTGCTTCAGTACCAGCCTTGTGATCTAGCACAACCCCCGGCTCCCTCAGGCTCAATTTCTCCCTCTGTACTATGGGGATGGAACTCTTTCCTTTCAAGGTTGCCCTAGTGTTATAATTAGGTGATGTTTCTAAAGCAAAGAGGGGCCTCCCTGGTGGCACAAGGGATTAAGTCTCAGCACGATGAAGCTATCGGCAGCTACTGCAGCATGAGTTCAATCCCCGGCCAGGGAGTTACCCACATGGCCAGCAGACCTCTCTTGTTTCACCTGCTGCTCCCCTCTCAAGCAAAGAGCACTGAGCAGGTGCCCCCTCCCTACATATGTAGCCATTTTGGGCCCTTTGGCAAGCAGCTCCCAAGACTGAATTAAATGGGCCAGGTGTTTGTTGGGGGGAAACACTGACTTAGTATAAAAAGCAGGGGTGGGGGGAGAGAAGCTTGGGCAGAGATACAGGTTCTGACCCTGTGACAGTAGAGGGGGAAGGAGCAGGAGGTGGAAAAGCCTGGACCGCACCCCAGCTCTCATGAGGGCTCAGCCAACAGGTGGAGAGCCCAGAGCAAGGCGTGTCCACTAGCAGAGCATGGACATGACGTGCTCTGGTCTCTTGCCTTACTCAAGCCGCTGCGAGCACAGACGCACAGTCTCCATGTGAGGACATGGTGCAGCCTCACGGACTGACCGCTGCAGGCTGGAGGCTTCCTGTGGCTTCTCCGTGGAGGGACAACTGAATAGCATCCTTTCCTAGCTGCCACCCACCCCTCTTTCTTCTTCGCTTGAAGCTAAACATTTCTAGCTCTCATTGCATTTGTCTGTTAGGACCACCATAACCAAATACCACAGACTCAGCTTAAAAACAGATTTATTTTCTCATAGTTCTAGAGGTTGGAAGTTCAAGATCAAGGTGGGCGAAGGTTGGTTTCTCCAGAGGCCACTCTCTGTGACTTGAAGATGTCTGTCTTCTCCCCTTGTCCCCACATGGTCTTCCATCTGTATGGCTGTGTCTCATCTCCTCATGTGACCAGGGCTGCAGCCAGAGTGGATTGGGGTCTCAGCCTTATGCCACACTGAAGTGTATTTGCTTCCTTAGATGTCTTATGTCTAAATGTAGTGACTTTGGGAATTAGAACTTCAGCCTATGAATTTGAGGAACACACAATTCAGTTTATGAGACTCAAATTCTTTATGCAGTAAATATGTTTTCCCTTTGCTTTCATTCTTGGAGTTAAGAGCTGCCATATTCCACTCAACAAGCTGGGGGTGTAGAGTAAAATATCCAATTCCCTCCTTACAAGAGACCACAATCTTTAGGGCAGGGGCTGGTTGGGACTGTCACCCTAACATGGCCTGGAAGGGACCCAAAGGAGATCTCTAATCTGATCTACGTTGGTTGGGGTGGTCACAGAATGCTTCCTGGAGGAGGTGGATGCAAGTGAGGTCTTAAGAATGAGCAGAATCTAGGGCCTTCCTGGTGGCGCAGCGGTTGAGCGCTGGGTTGCAAAGCTGCCCGCAGCCTCTGCAGCACCGGTTCGATCCCCGGCCAACGGGTGAGGGTTCCACACGGTGCGCAGACCTCCCCTGCTGCCCGCTGCTCCCCTCAGCAGTGTACTTCGTCAGTCTGCCTGCTCTGCTCCCCTCTGACTCTGGTGAATTCTCTCACCCTCCTGCACTTCTGACTATACCCAGTGCTTGTATAAATAAATAAATAAATCTTTAAAAAAAAAAAAAAAGAATGAGTAGAATCTAGTAAGTGAAGAAATGGGAAGAACACGTGTGCAAATACAGGGGTGTTGAGTGATTATAGCCTGTTAGGCAACTGCTGTTAGTCCAGCATGCCTGGGGCCTAGGACACTCATGGAGGGAAGTAACACTAAAGGCCAGGAGTGGACACGGGTGCTGCTGTCATGCTGGTGGTGCTGAAGCTGGTGTGCAGATCACAGATATTCTGATGCCTTACTCAGAGCTTGGGTTTATCCTGAAGCCTTGTGACAACATCTATTCTCCATCCTCCCTTCCTTCTTAATATGTCAAACAACCAAATGTCCCCAGCACTTCAGGGTACCTGGGCTTGACCTAAGATTCACAATGCTTTTCCTTATGCCTTTGCAAAATCACAGATGTAAATGACATTCATGTGGAAAAGGCACCTGCCCCCCACCTTCTTGAGTCTTCTTCCTGCATCTGCAGTCTCCTGGGCCTGATGTGCATGGGCTCGTAGGGCTGCAGCTGTCTCTGCAGGGTGCAGTGGCATGAGCGCTATCTCTGCAGTTAGTGTAGCTGCTGAGTGCACCAGCAAATGCCTTCTCTGAGGAGCTGCATGACAAACAGCCTAGAAACATCATATTAAGACTGGAAAAAGATAATTTTCATTTCCTGTGACTTTGGAGAGACCACTGATCTGTGATTACAGACGCTGAGCAAGTGTAATGCAGCCGGGTGCCCTGTAAGTAGGGGGCCCTGGCTACAGACTGTACATAGAGGTGAAAGGGCCTGGCACTGCGGGACTGTGCTTGTGTATAGCACAGGGGTAACATGTATTTTGGAGTCATTCATTTCAAAGGTAGAAGATGTGAAGTGAGCAATGAATCCAGAAAGGTTGGTTCTATTGATGAGGAAGAATCTACTCGGAGAATTTCAGACCTAAGATTCTGGCTACAAGCTAGTTAGTGGCAGAGTCGGAATTGGAATTCAGGACAAATGCAAGCCTCAAACCCACTCAATTTGTTCATGAAGCATATTTTGAATGCCTTTTTAATGCAGATTTTGAAAGCTGCAGGCTCCGTAAATCTGCGTATACTGGGAATAAATGCAGGTATCCCCTCTGGGACTCTAATCAACACCTTGCTCATACAATTCCCACCCCCCCTTATTTTGACCTTACTCTCTATGCCCCTCCCCCCAGTGTGTCTCTGGTTTGTAGTTGCTTGTTGATTTTGATTTTTACTTTATTAGTCTATTTCCTGGCCCCTTATTTAGGTTTTCTAGATTCCTGCTATGAGTGAGACCATCTGGTATTTTTCTTTTCTTTCTGGCTTATTTTGCTGAGCATGATCCCTTCCAGTGCCATCCATGTTGCTGCAAATGGCATGAGTTTATTGTTTTTGATTGCTGAGTAATATTCCATGGTGTATATGGACCACATCTTCTTGATCCAGTCATCTATTTTGGGGCATTTGGGTTGTTTCCCTATCTTAGCTATTGTAAACAGTGCTGCTATAAACAGGGGTGCAGGTGCCCTTTTGAATTAATGATTCTGTGTCCTTTGGGTAAATACCTAGGAGTGGAATTGCTGGATCATATGGAAGCTCCATCTTTAGCAGGTTGAGGAAAATGCATGCATTGTGCAAAATTAAAAATGATGTAAAAATATATAAAATGAAATAAAACCACCAACACCTGGCTCTGGCCCCAGAGTTTCTGATTGAATGGGTCTTTGGAGGTGTCAGACATTGGTGTTTTCTAAAGTTCTCCAGAATGCAGCAAACTGCAGGTCTCAACCTGCCTTGTTCGACCTGGAGCTACTGAGCACAGTTGTGTGGTTGATCATGCTTTGAATATACTGGGTTAACTATATCATTACAATTAATTACACCTTTTCCTATACCTCTTAAAAATGTAGAAAATTAAAAATACCCATGTGGCTCAGATTATATTTCTACTGGACAGTGCTGGTCTAGCTGATGTAGACATCTACAGCTATGCTCAGTGACTGCACAATCTCTCTCTCTGGTTCAGGCACATAAAGACACAGAGTGGTGTAAAGAGCGGGGCCCTGGATTAATCCCTGGGCAGTAGCACAGGGGTGGACCTTTGCCCTCAAGCCACATCGCCTGTGTTTTAATCCCAACTGCAGTGGTTATTTGTGGGATGACTTCTGGTAAGTTAACTGTCTGTTTCCATTTCTCCATCTTTAAAATGGGGAATGTATAACTGCTTAAGTTTTCTTGGAGATACTGTTAGCTGTTACTATTCTTGCTATACCATCTCTGGATCAAACTGTTGAGTTTTGCTTCTCGTTCCTGGTTCTGTGACCACCTGTATTTGATTCCAAGCCTATCTCAGTCACTTACAGAATGCATAATTGTTCTCAACTAATGCAACTTGCAAGCATCTGTCTAATTTCATTTCATGGTTCATTATCATAACTCATAAAAGGTAACCACTTTGTCTCTGACTACCTTTCTGTTTTATGTTCCAGGGAAAAGAAAAGCTGAAAATAAGATGTGTCATTGCTCCTGATGGCATAAAGTTACCACCGCTGGTTCCCTCCTCCCAGATTATTACCAATTTCTAACAACACCTTGGGTTGGGGAGCTTGCCAGTGGAAGTCATGCAGAAATATTCAGACAGGTCTCTCTTTATGTGAGTTTCATTGAGACTCAAGAGTTTGGCTATGGTGGTGGGGACATCAAGACAAATCCCTAGCCATGGGCTGAATGGATTACGACCCAGCCCCTGGTGGTGTTTCCAGTTCCTTTAAAAGTCTGAAATGTCCACTTCATCCCACACTGTTCTCGACACAGCCCTGCCCTCCCAAGACTGCCAATTCCTTAGCAAGGTCTAAGTATTATATGCAAACTATTTTTTTTTTTCAGGAGCCAGTGGAGTAGTAGGGATGAAAACAAGTTCTGGCCTGGGGATGTCCTGGGATGAAGAAGAACAGCCAAACCTCTGTGTGGTTTCAGTAGAATAAAGCACAGTGTGTACAGTGAGTAACCTCAGCAATCTGGTGCCTGGCACCTAAGACTAAGTAATTTACCTTCAAGGACCTGCAGGACCATTAAGAAAAGTCTGGTGGCTCCTCCATCAACTGAGCCAGAGCTAGAAGGTTCTAGAAGAAACTCACTTGATCTGGCATAAAACTGTGAACACAGGCAAGTCCCTGACCTTCTGAGGCTTCCTTTTCTCATCAGCAGAGTGGAAGCAATCACCTTCATTTCCAGAGCATGTATGGGGGTTCTATGAGAAATGGACATAAAATAATGCAATCAAAGTCTAAAGTGCACACTGCGAAGGTGTGCTGATTGTTCTGAACCAGCATAGGTTAGCGTGATGGGGTTAGCATCACGTTAGGTTAACATTCCCCTTCAAGCGCCTGGTGGAGGAGCTAGGCTAGACACAGTGGATTTATTGGATTTTGCTCATTTTTACATTACAGTAGTAATCCGGCTCATGGTGAAAAACTCGGGGAGAAGCATAATAAAGAAAATTAAAATAATTTCTAATCTTACTACTCAAGACTAGTGCTTGTTTATTTCTTTGGGGAATTTCTACCATATATAACTCAATTTGGTGAAATAGAAGAGAAAGAAAGTTCTGGTCATTTAATACATGTCAGCAGAGGCTTCGCATAGGCAAAGAGGATGTTTAAGGCAGAGGTAGGAAAATGTAGGGAGAGATGAAGTGGGAGACAAATGGGGTGACTTTCGTAGGCAAAACACCGATAATCTTCCCTTCTCACCTTTTTTCTTGAAGGAAAGTCATTAAACACGTAACTTCCTCTGTCTTCCTCCTGCTCTCACCTTCCGATTTCTGTCACTTCCTTCAAGCACAATGACATGACTTGCCAGGGGAAAGTGTACAATTACCCAACAAGAGAATGGAGGGCTCCCGGGGCCCCCTGGGGGGCGGTGTCAGGATGCATAGTCCTCTGGTGGAAAGTGCGTTGTGGGTCTGCGGGTTCCTGCGTTGGCTGCCCGTGGGGTTATTAATGATGGGAACATGATCTGAAACCTGCTGGGCTGTCAACATCTCCTAGGATGCCTTTTCTGCTCCTGGCTTCCTAGAACCAGGGCATCCTCCGGCTCTCATGCATCTTTTATAATAGGCTTTGTCATATGTGCCATGTGGCTATGCCAGTGGATTGGACACCTTTCTGATCCAAAAGTGAAGTGGGAAAATATGTGGGGGGAAAATATGTCGGGGGGAGGGAGATTAAGGGGGAGAGAAAGCCATGAGAGGGAGACTGGGAAGGAGAGGCAGGAAAAAGGAAGAGGGAGGAAGCTAAGAAAAGTATGAAGGAAGGAAAAGGGATAGAAAGAGAAACACAAGAGAACCGGAGATACGGCACAAGAAGGTTGGGGGAAAATGACAGAGAAGAAAGAGACAGAAAAGAATGCTTGAGGGGAGGAGACAGTGAATGCGGAGGAGACAGAGACACTCATTGCTACTTAATGATTAATACAGGATTTAAATGAAATATTCATGAAAGGAAATTGGAGCTATAGCCAAATCCAAACGCCACTTCCCTGAGCCTCACCTCCCCCTTCCTTCTCAAAACTGAATTCTTTGAAGATTCATGCCCTCTGTTGTCGTACTTTGAAAACATTGATGGATGTAGCTGGAAGGGGACGCTTATTGCTGTCAGGAATCTGGCTCCATTAAACACACGTCTGCTGATGGACTTGGCGGTTCCTGAGGGTGAGCAAGAGCGAGGCTCATTAAGGCAGCTCTGGGACCTGAAAGGGGACCCCGATGGGTCACCCCTTCCTGAGTCTCCAGGTGTTCCTGAATCAGAGTCTTCTCCTGCAGGAACAGCTAGAAAACATCCCCCAGGTAGTTGCTGTCCTGAGCACAGCCTGCCGACCCAGTGCAGCCCAGTTACAGAGACTAGATCCATCCCCTGCACTGCCACTGGCCAGCTGACCAGCCCTGTGCAAACAAGAAAGTCGCCCCACCTCTCCGGCTTCCAGGTCCTCATCCGCATGCACAGACCAATACCCATCGTGCCAATAACGTTGTCCACGGTGAACTGTCCGGGGACATTCGAGGGCTGCTCCCCCGTCGTAAGCTGGCATGTGTTAAAGGACTCAGCACTTTCCCCCTTACTTCAGCCCACCTCCCTGTCTCCTGTCTTTCGTCAACATGGTCTACAACTCATACCACCACCACCACCACCAGAGCTGGTCCCTGGGAAGTGATGCTGAAACTGGTAGTTGCAATTTGGGGTCCTGTACTGCACCCCCCTACACACCTTACTGGTGATATATGGGGGTGTTTGGTTTGGGGAGTTGTGTGGGTGGGGTGCATTGCTGTGGGTACTCAGCTTTTCATACAACCCCACACCAACATCAGCCTGCCAGAAGAGCTTTTGTTTTCATGCTGAAGTTATTATGCGTGGGCTCAATTGCTGCTTATGCCTGGGTTTGAAAGCACTGCTTTTCTTCAGGTCCTGGGGAGCGAGCGGGCCAGTCGTTAGGCTGTAGAAAGAACTTGAGCTGTCAATTTCCCATTTTAATGATGCCTTGAATGGTCTCTTTACCTTCTGACTTTCTTAGTTTTTGGATCTCATTTAAAATGGAAATGGTCTATTTCCAGGAGCCTACTTGAGGATCGGGGTGGGTAGTTCTAAAGTATGAAATCTATTCAGCTATTAAATATTGGTATTTCAGTGCAAGGACAATTTTACCCTTAATCTGAAAGCTCTAGAAAAACAGGAAGCATCCCTGTCTTTTTGTCATCACATACATAGTGCCTGTGCAGAATGCCAGGCATACAGCAAGTGCTCAGATAACACTTTCTTAGCAAACAACTGCCCTCAGATCTGTAGAGGTTAATCTTGACCACTTCATCCCTGTTCTGACCACTGCTTTTTAATTTTTTTTTTTATTAGAACTTATGGCCAGAAATATCCCTCTTCCAGGCCCTGAACCAACAATTCCCAGCCCTCATCCTAGGTCGGGGTGCAGATCATGGATAGCTCAGTTGTGTGAAGGATAATTTGGACACGAGGAAAATGCAATGAGGCTCACCGCTGAAGGCCAGCCCCACACTAATAAAACATGTCTGCTGCTGTCAGGAATAGGAGGGCTTCTGTCCAGCTTTGGGAAAACATAAGGGCTATTTCCGGAGCAACACAGTTGTCAACAAATGGCATGTGTATCTATAGAGAGATGCCTGTGTGACAGGCCAAGGGTGCCTGAACATAATCTGACCTTTCCAGACACAACCACAGCTGCTTCACCCACTGTTGCCCAGCTTGCAAACAAGCTGCGTACATTCCCACCAAGGAGGATGCTGAAAAGAAGAGGAGAGACCCGCGTCTCCACAGGCGCACAGTCGAGTGCATTGATGGCATCATTGCATGCACAATATACTCTCCTCCTTTTCTGCATGGTCTTCTCTTGCTAGCCCTTACTATTCTCTAACACATTACCCATTTTCCTTATTTATCTTGGTTATTGCAGGTTTCCCTCCAAATTCATAAGCTCCATGAGAGCAGAGATGATTGATTATGTTTTAGTTTTTGTTTTTCCCTCTGCTATATGCCCAGGCTTAAAACAGAGCCTAGTGCATATTAAGCATGCACTAATTATTGTTTGTTTATTTAGCTAAATAACTAATTTCCTACATGTTGGAGCTTGCTCCTTTATATAAAACAAAAATATTTAAATACATCTTAATTTTTTTTCATGCTGAAAATGTCTTAGAATATATCACCCCATCTCCTGACTTCCTGAATAGAGCTTAAGTAATGATAGATAACATTTAAAACACTGGTTTAGTAATAAGTGATTTATTAATTTAATACCTACAATAAACTTTGATGAGATAAATAAAGCACAGAGAGGGTAAGTGATTTGCCCAAAGTCACACAACAAGTAAGTCATAGACCAGCCATTATCCAGCAATAGTACTGTTGCTGGACAGGAGTTAGGTGGCTTGTGGAGAGTCAGTGTCTCCACTATGAAGGTCAAATCTATCACAGTCCCTCCCTGAGGGTACTAGGTGGGACTGGCTTGTTGTCACACAAACCTCTGAACAATGCAGTTTTATAATTGACATTCCTTCTCTTCCATTGTTAGCTGTTACTGATGTCCTCCAAAGCTTGCTGAGATGTCCTGCTGAGACCATTCCTCTGGCCTGCCATCCAACCAGATCTCGCAGACCTGCTTGTATGCCCCCAGGGGATGAAGCTACTAAATCCTCCTAGCAAGCTCCTAGAGAACTGTATACACTGGAGAAACACCCTTAAGATCTAAGTGTCACCTCTCTCCAGACAGAAGCCACTGAGATGATGTTCTCCACAGCCTCCAGGGACAGAGAGGTCCTGGGCCCGGGAGGGAGGTGGCCTCATGAGGTCCTGTGCTACCGACACCTGTGTTGCCTGTGGTTCTCCTGTGGGCTGTGATTGTGTCGATGTGCTCGGTTAATGATAATTACATTTGTGTGTTTCTGAGGGTCTTTATCATCATCATTGCTTTTCTATTGTCATTGTGCTTCAAAAGGAAATTTACAGGTAAAAGCAAATAGCATGACACTTGCATCTTGTTTTTGAGAGGCAAATCTTTCCCTTCCACACCCGCCACATACTGCCTTTCCCAAGTAACCAGGAGACACCCTTCATCTTGGAGATCAGTCAGGTCCTATGACTACTGTAAGTATGAATTCTTCTGTATTAAGCCAAGAATGAAGACATAGACTCACTCACTATACATAATTCATTGACATGCATTAAAGGTGATGATGTGTCTGGACTTTGTGACAGTTGGAAAGCATTTGTCCTTGTGACTGAGCGTATGGTTGCGGGAGGCAGAATCCTGTCATCTATGTGAGCCTAGGCAATTTATGTGAGCCAGCCCACTGTCCTGAGCTTATCAAGTCCATTCTCCAACCCACAAGGAAAGCACCTTCTCCATAAAATCGAGATCAAATCACATTACAACCACTTTTTCCTTTCCCGAGACTATTTTTTTCTCTTAAGAAAAAATGTTGACAATTATGGTAATAAATTCAATGATCATAAATATTTTTCATGCGTTCGAATCAAAGATCTATGCTGTGGATGATATTCTTAGCACCTATTTCACATTGAGTATTGTACCAAGCACTTTACTGGATTGTCTGATTTAATTATGAGACTTTGAATGCCAAGTATGGATGGAAAGAAAGTGGAATGCCTTTGGGATAATCTTCCTCCTTACAAGATATTGGAAAATCTGGACTTGGATAATCCTGCAAATCCTCCTTCTGGCTGGAAATCTTACTCCCATTTGCTGCCTCCTTCATGGAGTCACCCTGATTTCCCTGAAAATATGTGACTCCCCCACCCTGTGCATCCCAAAGCCACCTGCTTCTGCTCCTTTCTTCTGCTGTTCATCCCATCTGTCCAGGTACTGTGATTCTTGGAGACTGTGGGGAGCACTGAGCACAAGGGCTTTGGAGTCCAGAGACATGGTTAGACATTCCTCAGGCTTACAGGGTAAGGGGTACTCACA